GGCGATAATTGCCAATATCGTCTGGATCTCCCTTCTTGTACAGTAACACAGTCTTGCTAGTTTTCCACGACGTGGGCACTTTGCATTCCGACAGGTACCGTGTGAAGAGCCTAGCCAGAGTTTTGATGATGACTGGTGGTATACTCTTCAGATGTTCTGGTCTGATCCTATCGGGACCGGGCGCTGTACAGTTCTTCATCGACGTGATGGCATGTCGTATTTCGGAAGGGAGAACCGAAGGAGCGATATATTCGTCTTGCCTAAGATGGTGAGTAGGCAGGCAGACGTGGCTGCCGAAGAGATCCGTGTAGAAGTCGGAGATGACCCTCTCCATTGCCCTTGGAGATGCAGTAATTGTTCCGTCAGGACGACGAAGGGAAGTCATCCTGGTCTTGTAATTGACGAAGCTCCGTCGGGCTTTGTGAATGCTCTTTACGGCCTCGGCGGCTTCGTCCATAGCCCAGTCCTTCCTGCTTTGACATACCCTTCAAGGATTTGGACCTGACGCAGCCAGTAAATATAAGCATATAGTGAGCGCCATTCAATGTACTGTTGAAAGGACTGTGAGTGAGCAGAGGGCAGCGAATGAGCCGAAGATCAATTGAGCTCCATGCTCATTGGGAACTTCATGCTATTTTTTTTAATAACGCGTCACTGACAGGAGCCCTCTAAATTTGAGCGAACACCAGGACGTCTGCCGATCATGTGATCAAAATTCTTCACGGAAGCTCTGTAGGCAATGACTGCTATGCTTTGTGTCCTTCGGGCGATAACGACCCACTGATATATCTGACTTGCGACAGGGTCCAACGAAGAAGTCACTGTTGTTCATTGAAGAAAATTACTGCTCAGCGAGACGACAGATGGGTAGCACAGGTAATACTACTAGAATTTTGAACTGTGTTACCAAATGATTGGGAGTAACTACATAGATCCAGGGCTACTAGACTCAAGTGAAGAAAGCCGCTACAAAGATGTTGGGGGACGTAGGTGCGCCTTCATGTGTACGGGATTTATTTACCATGGGAATATCGTACTTATTTTATACCTGTGAACACTATATGACACTGGTCAGTCGAACATAGAACTCACAACAAAACGCGAATGATCGACGTCGTGATGCTCGAAAAAGTCAACCATGTCGTTGTAGTTGTAGACTAGTGACGTATAGTATGAAGGGGGAAGATCAGCAACCTGAAAGTCACAGCGCATGAGCACAGCAGACGTCCCACTTGTATGGCCCTTCTCTCTATGACAGTATACAGGGGTGTTCGTTTAAGACCAGTGAAGCTATTCTCGAGGCGCGTTTTGGTGGAACCGAAACCACTTTGCAATCTTTGCAGCAAAAACAAGTCACAAAATCCCCCTCCCACGAAAGGGCCCAAACGAGTGGTATCGAAACAAATGGTCTCTGCACTAATTAAGTAACGTCTTCCACTACAGATGCTTTACCGTTGTGTTCCATCCAGTGTGCTTCATTGAAATAGTGTGTAGCACGGCCAGCTGTTGGAGAAGGTCTCGTACGGCTTCCACCTGAAGTACTGAAGAATAGAACGGCACATATAAACCCTTTTGGAAATTAGATTTTTCAGTTGTGTTAGGATCCTTCATCCTTCTTGCCTCAAACCATTTAGAGACCTAAAACGATCACCCGAGCTATTTCCGACGTGGCACAAAATCGTCTTTCTGCCTAAAGTAGCTAATGGTACCATGGAAAGTTCATCTGCTCATTTCAAAAACTGCATAGGATATTTCCCAAAAGCTTATACGGTGCTTGAAAACAGCTAGACCCTGGGGAAGGAACTACTCCAGAGCCAGCCAGCCTTCCTCAGCTTCTCGATCACATGCTTCTAATTTTGTGTAAGTGCACTTCGATAGTGGTTCCCGAATGCAACAAGAACACTTCTTTCAGAAGCCGTCGCACGAATTTCTTGGACTCTTTGTTTGCCGTTCGTTGAATAGCCCGGATGTGTATATTTTTAGCGCTGTTTAATAGCTGGCGTGGCACTCGACCGCCGCCAATCACTATTGAGGCTTTTACTTTATCGAAGTTACGCTCCACACTTTTGGCAAAAACTACTGTCTTGACCAGGCTTTCGAGGAAGGAGCTGGCGTTTGTGTGAATCTCCTAACAAAGTCCGAGATTGGTTTTCAACCAATGGTTCCTTAGCAAAAGTCAGTGAAACCAGTACGGAAGATAAATATAGCAGCAGCTGCGTTGAGCGCCACCACAACAAGCAAGTTAACAACTCTCGAATCAAGTAATGAACAGCCTATAAACTAACGGGTTGGACAGGAAACTGAGTCATCCCCAAGTTCACTGACGGTTCATTAGAGTGAGTTATTGAAGCCATTGCTGTGTCACATAGCCCGAGTAATTGATAGAGGGGGCACTCAGCACTGGTCAGGGCGTGGCATCTTCTTCCTGTTGGTGCTACGGAGTAACAGCCCTCATTCGTTTCATCACAAAATCCAGACATGGGCAATTACACAGAGCATTAGGCCTCCGAAGAAAAATATAGTGGCTGGTACGGTCTTCAGTAAAACATTTCAATGGTGCCGTAAGTGTACGTGAGAAGTGGAAGAATTTATTCTCATTCAGTTGACATTGACGTGACATATTGCGTATTGACATTCAATATTTATCGTGGTCCGAGACATTTTTCTACGATTCCGGTACCAAAATGGAATTGGCCGATACTTCAAAGATTAAAGAGCTCAGCTCGAGGAGCACATCGTTTTGCTTCGTGACAAAAGCGTTGAATGACGCTGTGCAGCACATAATGGGAGCAACCTTTCTTGTCGATATATTACTCATGACGGGTCTGATGATTCAGTACCAAAAAAGACCGGGAGTAAAGCTCAATTGATTCCACGAAGAACGGGAAGAGAAAAACGTACCTATCGCTATAGTGAGTCCTGCTAGTCGTTAGCAATAAAACCTAATGGTTTATCTCTCTCCTTCAATTCCACTTCTACTTACATACCGAGAGGCCTTTAATGGCGTCCTGTTGTACACCACGTTCGCCGATGTCTTCCATCACAACCACTCCGCTGAACTCCTTCGTATGCCGTTTTATGTGGAAAATACGAGGCGAAGGTAGTTTAGCGTATTTCTGAGTCCAGTCGTAAACGTTACATTCTCTTCAAATGTAGACTTGGAATGACATTATGATTAAAAGTTAGTGAAAGGAGCGATCACCTTTTGAACATGAGGTAGTGGTATTTCGCCTCCTCGTCGTCTTTCTGATTATTGTGAGCGGGTGTTTTCAACACAACGCTTTTAGGCAGATCCTCGTCCTCCCAGCCGAATGTCACGCGGAGCACAGTGGATGTAGCATAATCTGAACCAAATAAACAGCGAACGCATGCGAAACCGAAAGATAGAAGATGAACATGATGAGTTTGGATGTGAGGCAGCGACGATGTTCAAGACTGAATATGGTGATGCACAATGCAAGGATCATAGGGGATTGCGGACTTGTTCCCTTTACTGGAATCAGGGTGAATCTATTTCTAGCTAGGTTCATGCCTATATCTTCGCCCATACAGTCATCACACACGACGTCTATGAGTGCCATTCTTTAATCTTAGGGAGATGAGAACTTATTTCCGAAGAAATTCTCGATGAAAGGACTTCTATCAAAATTAGAACCAATCTGAGATGAACTGTGCTTACGATGCTCAGTTCTACGGCATAGACATCGAAAGGGTTACAGAAGACATCTGGCTTGGGCAGTACATGTCGTGTCACAAAGGCTATGAAGCAAGCACGAGCACTGGCAGAATGTCTCCGTTAAAATCATGAAAAATTCTGGAGAAAATGTAGTGGGGGGGACCAAGAAATGAATTCAGTGTTGCGTGTCATTCCGTGGTATACTAGGGAAATGGAATTTCATCCTAAGGATCAGGAGAAAAGGAGTACCTGTTTATTTTTTACCTGTTTATTTTTCAGCTTTTTGCCAGACGTAATTATCTCCCCTACCCGACGGTTTTTCACTCAATTCCAAGTTAAAAAACTATACTCTAGTGACTAGAACCACATAAGAGCGCGCAGATGGCCGGCGCCCAGCCTAATTTTCGTCTCTGATACATAGCATGTCCAATGGGCAACCATGGAGAAAAGAGCCAGTTTGGATCGGGCCTAAGACTGCGAAAACACTAAGTTCTTCAAGGTGTTGTTCTTGAAGAACTCCCTCTCTCCACGGTCCATAGTGAATGAACCTATCAGCAACATCAATCAGGGTTCACGTTGTACATGTAAGCGCTGATAAGTTATGGCATAAAAGCCTTCAAGAAGGCGAGAGCAAGCGGTGCCTCGGTAGTGCAAGGGATAGAGCGCGGTGCTCGGATAGCACATCTACGGGTTCGAGTCCCGTTCGAGACTGAAATCTTGCCCATAAATCGCCAACCTTGTGAGAATCAGTATCTAATTGGAAACGCTCTACACGATAAGGAGAACAGGTGACTGCATTGCATGACATGACTGAAAATCGGGTGATTGCGTACTGTGGGTGGACAGTATGCCAGACGTGAGATTCAACGCACATATGAGGAAACAGGACCAACTTTATGTCAAGATCACCTACCCAGTGAAACTGTGGAGCACAGTTGCGGGGTATTTTCACTAGAGAGACTAGTTCACGGCAGGGCGGAGATTTTAGCACGAGAGACATTACAGACTTAAAGGATTTCTAATGTGTACTACAGTAAACATCAGATATTAGTGTACGCCCAATGACACCGATTTTCTGCCGCTCCTGCTGCCCTAGTATATAGTAAAGTTCGTGGCCTGTGGGCGGCAGACAATTTTTTACCTTCTTGGTTGACCCTTGGGAGGTAATTTTCACATTATCAGTAATCTCGAACCCATGATCACATGTGCTGAAACGCCGCTGAAATCATTTAACCGTCATACCTAGAAACCTAGTTAGGTACTTGAATCCTACCATCGAAATCTAAGAATGAAAATTGGATGGCTCGATACTTGAGTGTCCCATAGAAGCACTGGAGTTCTTGTCAGTCAGTGAATAACTTGATGATTAAGGGCTTGAACAGAGTTTCAAACCGAGGAGCTCAGAGATAATGTCAGAACGATGAAGAAGAGAAGGTGTAACGGCAGCAGTCCCACCGTCCCATCGAGGTCGATTCAACCGCTCCGTGATCCACTGAGGCTCTTCGTCGAATTGTTTCGTAAATTTATCAGCCAGCATCTGCAGAAGCCATTGCAACGAGACGTCTGTACCGCATAGGTAATCCTGATTTTCTTGTTCTGTTTCTCTGTCCGTCGATCGATCACTGAAAATAGTTTTAAGTTTTTTTGCTATTGTAAAGCCTGATTCCTAGTGGTACTGAAGTGAGGACAATGTGGTGCGTGTAGTGTCTCCTTGTGTTCTTTTTGTGGATTTCGTGCACTGAAATGCGGAAAATTGGAAGTAACGCTCAAGTGACCTCCCCTCTCTATCATGAGAAGATCCCTTTGTTGGGTTGTAGGTTCCAAAGAATAACCTTGAATGCACACTTCAGCCAATAAAGGTTCGAAGAGTTACAAGAACTGATTTTCACAGTTCTCCTTTATTAATACCAAATATCGCTTGAAATGTCAATTGACTGAAACCTCCTATAAGACGGGCCATTGCAGCTCCACTCACAACAAGTAGGCTCGTAGGAAGGTTGCCCATTATAGTTAACATAGAACGAAAGAGTAACATTTTAAGAAAGTGACAGATCTTGGTGGAAGGATCTGTCATAAAATAGTATGCACTATTACTAAGCTATTACCAACTATTACAAGTACTATTTACCGAACGCATCTGCTATCCCAAAGGCCTTCGCGCCTATGCTCGATGTGCCAGCTGAGTTTCATGACTTTCGCAGATATAAAAACGGGATTTCCATACTTCTCTTACTATTAGGTTGGCGCATAAGTCCTTGTACTTTTTGCTTTCCATGTTGTGAATTTTTTGGAGACTGTTCTATCACCTTCACTGCGGAATAGTATGTGTAGGGTGCAGGTCGATGCGCTCTCCATACCATATCTGCCGCTGCATTTCGCAACGATAAGGCTGCAAGAAACGCTCCCGACTCAAAGCAAGTTAGACTGCTTCTACTTTATGAGTTCAGAAAAAACCTCAGTGCGAAGCAAGCGACAAGGAACATATGAGATGCTATGGGACCCTTCACTGTCTCCTACAACCCGACCCGACGAAAAATTGGTACCACAAGTTTGAAAATGGTCACTTTGACGGGACCGAAGAACCACGATCAGGGAGACCATTGAGCTGAATGACGACCTTCTTCTAAAGCTGGTTGAAGAGTATTCTAGACGTAGTACCCGCGAGCTGGCACAGGAGCTTAATAGCTATCACAGGGCAATAGGTGCCCATTTGCATCGCCTCGGAAAGACATGGAGATACGGAGTATGGATACCTCATCACCTGAGTGGATGAGTGGAGAAGGTACAAAGACTTATGCGCCAACCTAATACTTCCTTATTTCTGATGAAAAAGAATCAACTTTATGAGAACATTCTGATGAAAAAGAATCAACCTTATGAGAACATTGTGAAGGCGCCGACGGTTACACTACCGAGAAGATGTTCTGCAGACGGTACAGCAAAACTCTGGCCATGAAGCATGAGTTTCAGTTTCCACCCCCTTCATTTCCCTTGATGCTAAGTGTACGCTGTCCATTAACTCCGCAGTAACACAATGGAGATGGTGGTTTCCGTTGTCGTTGGGCGGACTTCAGCTTGGGGGCAAAATCCTAGCCTGTTACGGCCCATACTGTATATGTTGGCTTGCAACGAGTTGGGTTTTCATAAATTTCACTCACGTTAAGCATTCAAAATCTGTTAATTTTATCTGTTTCGTGACGCTTCCACGCTCTGGTTTCCGACCCAGAGGAATTTCAAGTTCGTAAGCACATGCCACAAACATCCTGCGATCGATTCTCTAACAGTAGAAAAAATTACATTTAGCATAGGCTCCGAAAATATATTGACTGGGTGTATTTGGTGAATTCTTTCACTCTTCAGGTGGAACTATTCACTTTAAGCAGAGCTCGGGCAATCATCTTTCAGACTTAGGTTTTTGAAAGAGTTGAAAGGGAAAATGGGAAAAGAAAATGACCGTGGACCGTTTGATCATCTAGAAACACAATAAAAAATACAGACGAGGCCTAAAAGTTTGATAGTTAGCACTAACCTCATGCCTTCAGAGCTCATATCGTCTTGATTCGGTATCTGAAGACTGGCAATTGACGGCCGATAGGAGCGAGGTTTCATTGGTGGAGGATCGCTTGGCACATCACTAGGAGGAGGATCAGGCGGTGTCACGGTGACCACCTCGGGGGTTGAAGGTCGACAGCCCATTGGACCTCGATCACCCTTGGAAAACGTCAGAATGCTAAAATCAGAAGCAATTGATGCAGCATCTGTGACAAAAAAATTGGCAAGCAGAGGAGGAATGACGGGTTCCCTCAAGCGTGCTCTAAGCGGCTAGAGGGGGGCCGGAACAGACAATGCTTTTAAGGGTACACTCAGGTAGGTTAACTAATGCGAACAAGAGTATTCTCCAGCTCAAGACTAATTTTAGGAAAGTAAACGTTTGTCCTTGGCAACAAGAAAGCAAATTAGTTTTCAAGTTTCTGATTGACTAACTTTTAGAGCAGAATGCAGAGAAAAGCTAGCGTAACTATCTAGAAAACTTTGGTAGAAACCACAAGTAAGTTGTACACATTACCCGCGGCAAGTAATACTCATTTGCGATTTTGAATGGAGAAGATGAGAAGGGGAAGTTACCATGGACCGTTTAATCATCTGAGAACACAATAAGATTCCAAATGAGGTCCAAAAGTTTGAGAGTTAGCACCAACCTCATTTCTTCAGAGAAATGCGATGAAAAATGCGATTCCCCCTCTATTTCTGCTTTTTGTTTAAATATATCATTTAAGTTCTCTTCGCTCTACAATATCACTCCTAAAGAATGGGAAAACTTCTCGATGGGAACGCTAGATCCCGTTTTGGTCTGAGAAGCTGGCGTTGTTGCGTTGAAATCGTTGAACGACCTGGTCTGTTTGCAGGAATTTCATGCTCTACATGATCCTTGACAAGTGCTTCCTCTGTTTTGTGGCCCCTCATCAAGTAATCATTAAAATAGGTGCTGACAAGAAGCACTCCACCACAATAATACCGTCAATACTAAAAATGATCAACGACTAGTCGTTCAAGCGGCTCCGCTAAATGTAAATCAATAGCATAATTACGTGATGTTTTTTGGAATCATACGTATAGGGGAAAGTTGTTCTTTCATCGGGTTTCGGATCGGGTCTCAAAGTGAGTTTTTAGCCTTCAAATCGTTAGTTTTTACTTCTGCCTCTTACTTACTTACTTAATTTATTCATTTATTTTACTTTGAATTTGAATTTTTAGCTTTATGGGGAGTGGGGTAACGGTGCAAATGAGGAAGCCGGTCACCCTCCGTCTGAAAAGGTCTTCAACGACCTTACTGCAGTACTCTTTACTATGGAACTCTTCAGCATATCATACCTCCATTTCTGGGAGAGGCAGCAGTCTTTGTGAACATACTTAGTCAGTACTACAGTCACTTCAGTACTATACCGAGCACGGTTCCTATCTTTGATCTTTGAAATGGTTACTCGGTAGAAGAGAGAAGTGGCTAGTAAATAAAGTATTGTTTGCCTAGACACCCTTCGGGTGAGAGAAATAACTTCAGGGCCACGCCTATGTCAAAAGGAGGTTCGAAGGGTAGCGCACCCCAAAAAAGACTGGTTTGCGGAAAGTCCCTTGGGTCATTCATCTATCTCAGCATTCAATTTATTGCCTAGTTATTCTATATGATGATTTGAATCTTCCGTCTCAGTCGGAGGAAAAATGCCAGAAGCTCAGCACGTGTGTAATTTAAAAAATAGCCTCTGATATTTTGTTCGAATACCGAGCTGCTCGAGAGCTCCCCCAAAAATTAGGACAGCCAATGAGAATACTCTTTTAACCACTGACATAATGCCCTTGTCGGTTTGCATGTTCCAAAATAAGGGATTATGATAAGTAAGGCAAATAAAGGATATTGAATTAGAGAACAATTCAATATCCAGGCCTTGATGTAAGACCATGTTGTGATCGTGATAAAATGCGGCAAAACAAACGGCCTTTTTGTACAGTCACGGCTTCCAAACACCGAATTATAGTTGCACAGATGCTGGAGAGTGAATGGAATCACTGGGGGAAGACACTTGAGAAACGCAGGAAAGTGACAGCGTGTGACTGACAAAAAATAAGACCAGTGAGGGAATGAAAGTAATGAAGATAGATACATTTAAAGAAAAACTTCGAGCAGACTTGACTTTGAATAAGTCAGTAAGGGGTAGCAGAATGGCACAAGAAATCTCGAAAGGGCCAGACTCACATTCTGCTTTCCTCCTCTACAACAGAAGCAAGACGTTAATATGAAAAGAGAGCTTGGAAAAATGTCGTCGAGCATCGATCACCTAAAAGCCAATTTTGGCATGACAGCGTCTTCCATGGTAACTAGCAAGATTTTTGAAGATCTTACCACTTTGACGCAGACGATTGCTACAACTCACAGGTAGTTAGTTGACCATCCTTAAACTTGAAGCACGCAGAGCATGTTCCTGAAGTCGTTGAAACTAAAAGTGCATGGCTTCGATTTTCCGCTTCAATAGAGGTGGAGCTTTACGGCACCTCGTTTATACCCACACAAGGCTCAATTAACTACAAGTCAACATCGCTCAGCGACTGCCTGAGAACTTTATCCATCCTAAATGCACCAGATTTTTGTCTCTGTGACTTCTTCTTAGCAGTGGTGCAAGTATTCCTCTATTTCAGGATAAGCTCTCAGAGCTTGTTTTCAGAACCGTGTTTCTCACGTAAAAAGTAAAAAGGAGAGGAAGCTAGTCACATAATGAGCGACAGTCTTTTCAAAAATATAACCTTTTTGACTCAATCTGATATTTTTGGAGCCACTTCAAAAGTGTAGCTATTGGGCACCCCTAAATTTTGAGCTCTATTGCCCCAGACTGCTGTGACGCAATGTCAATTAAAGTCGACTTGCTCCTGAGTGCCCTCACGGAACACAGGTGAGACTCAAAAGCTTGACGCAGCTTTTTGGAGTACTGCGCAAATTTCTGATCCTATTTGGGTCCTGAAAGGTGTTTTAATATAAAACAATTTTCCTGAACATGGATCTCCACTGTTCCTAATGAGCTACCCACGAACAGGTGCAATTCAAGATCATGCTAGCGAGTGCACATTCCACAAATAAAAGCATTTCCCAAATGTTTGGCAGATCCACTCCGTAGGTTCTAGTAGTTGTCTATATTTGTTTTATTTGTTTATTCTATTTCATTAGGTGAGGTGGAAGTGGGGTAGTGGCAAGTGGAACACTTCACCTATGCATGCCCACAAGCCCAAACTAGTCTGACAGAATAAAACCACTGATTTGTACATCGACTGGCCATCGAAAGTCATTGTATTGGCCACATAGGCACTCAGTACACCACTAGTATACCACAGTAGTGACCGGGTTTCATCATAGCTTGGTCCCTGAATTCAGAATACGACTTCCATTCTGCATTCCATGCTGGAGCGCATACGTCATACAGGATTAAATGACGCCCAAAAACTTTATACTTTGTCTTTTTTTTCTTTGAATCCTGCAGAAAAAATGGTCTACCAACTTTGTTCCTAGAACCGTTTAGAGATTTGAAATCAGCTTCGGAACCACGGCGGTACACATGATCTCGCGTGACCACTGCGACCAAGTAACCTTCCCTCGAGAGCCGAGCATAATGTGGAGAGGAGAACGATGAAAGCACAGTAGTGCCACAAGGCGACAACTCGAGACGCCATCCCAGATTTTTGCATATTGTGGATTCTATTCAAATAAACGCTACTCAAATGGAGGAGCAGCAATCACAAAGCAAAATTTCGCTTTGGGCGGGTACTGACGAGAGGAGCACTGCTTCCTCAATTATAATTTTGTTTAAATGTTCTAAAATGCGGTGGATGACGTTAGAGGCTAGAGGAGGAGGGTGGACAACCCTCTAAACAGGAGGGGCTTGCACCGTGGTGATCGGGACAAGGAAAAAACTCACAACTCTGTCCAAAGACGTTCGTAGCATTGGAAAATCTTTTTGCGTATGAAGTCATCGTCTCAACTTACTATCTACAGAACCATTCACTTGATGTGCTCGCGACTCTAGTCAAGAAGTATGCATCGGCGGTGGAGCCACGAGCTTGTCAAAATGGTAGGATTTCCGGTGCCACTGCTTCTGGGGGAAGTTAGTTTCGCCTGCGCTCGCCTGGACTCGAGGTGTAAATGTGAATTCCTAGACGGAAAATAGTGTAGGCATCCTATCGTGTGGTCCAAGAAGAGAACTAGTCCAGGAGGAGTCAGTCAAGACAAGGACTGGCAAAGTTCAAGGATGAAATGCGCAGTGTTAACTGTCGTTAAAGGCAAGGGAGGGAGCTGTATGTGACTGGCGAGGTAGATAAACAGCGAGGAGGAAATGTACTACCGAGAAGTAAAGCGAGCAAGTATGAGATAATAATCTGACTACAACTAACGATGAAATACTTTATATGCTGAAAGCAGTCGACCTACATTAGTTATGGAATGTGCAAATAAATGCATGAAAACCGATAAAAAGCTAGCATGGGTTTATAAGGCAAGGATTACCCTAAATGATAACTATGTAATAAGAGGAATTCTGATAGTTGTCAATGAATTGATTACTATCATAGAATGAGGTAAATAGCATCAACATCAGTGGAAAGTATCCTATTATATATTAGGTTGTTCGGAAAGGAATGCGCGTTTGAGTTGAAAAATTTTTTTATTATAAAAACAAAACTAAACAAGATCAAATCAAACGATGCTTACCATTGCTATCAATGACTTCTTGTCTACGCTTACGCAAAGAATGGATTCTTCTTTTGAAGAACTCGGCCGGCTGCAACTCAAAGTAGTTGGACACCCTGAGTTGGACTTTTTCGCGGTTTTTGAATTTTCTCTCAGCAAGGAGTGGTGTATTGACCGGAACAGATGGTCATCGGATGGAGTCAGGTCTGGGCTGTAAGGCGGATGAGGCAGGAAATCCCAACCCCTATTCCTCAATTTTTTTCCAAGGTGGTTTTCGCAACATGTTGACGGGCGTTGTCGAGGAGGAATTTTGTCGACGTCGTTTCGACACCTTGACGACGCAGTGCTTGATCCACGCGGTTCAATTTATCTTTGCAAATGTCCGCCGTAACCGTTTGACCCGAATTCAGGACTTCAAACTACACTCAGCCTTTGCTGTTCCACCAAACACAGAGCATCACCTTTCTGCCGTGTATATCCGGTTTCGGAGTGGGTTTTGCAGTATCACTGTCTCTTTCGAGTTGTGTTGTCGAAGCAGATCCATTTTCCGTTTGATGTAATAATAGAGTTGAAAAAACCGCTGTTCTTGGAGCGATGAAGAAGAATTTCGGCCACC